AATTTAAAAGGCCAGTTACTACAATTAAATAGCTATTTTTATATGCTTACATCTCATCAATTTATTTAGGGATTTATTAGATAATTTGTCTGCATGTGTTTTGGGAAAAAGAAACAGGAAAATTGCAGGGACTTGGGTGCTCTTAATGTACCTGAGACAAAAGCAAATTTTTTGTCTGCTTGCCATCTGGCTGCTTTTATGTACTCATCAGCTGAATCAAAAATCCCTCTATATAGCAGTACTGAGTTTAATGTCAGGCACACTCTGGGCAGATTGCATTAACTGGTTTCACATACCCTTATGTACTGGCCAGTCACAATCCTGGAAAAACAACTTAGCTTTTTACCAGGTATAATAGTAAAGAAATCATAAAGCAGTCACCATATGGGTAAAATTATGCTTGTGTTTTATGAAATGGCTTCTTTTTTCCTACAGAAATTATGCTATAAAAGGTGTGAATGCTTCATAACTGTAATAAAAGCAATTAAATTACTTTGTTTTCAAACTGCGTGATACTGAGAAAAAAAAAGCAGAAATGGAGAAAAGGAAAAGAGAGATTAAAGAGCAAAAATATTGATTTGGATATCATTATTTTACAGCTGTAAACATAGGAGGCAGGTATGCATGCATTCTAATAGCAGATTGCTGTGGTAGCAGTAAGTGGAAAGGATCAGTATTTATTCTAGTAGCTTCCAAAGTTGTGTCAGGTATTTCACAGAATGGAAGAGCATGTATAGTCCTTCCCAGAGCATTCAGCCATGGAAAATGGAATGAGAAGAGGACAACGGAAGGGGATTTGCCAGCTCCAGAGCAAGGAGAGTGTCGGTTAGTGAACAGCATGACTTGTTACAAAGAGAGGGAGGATGGTGTGAAACTGGAAAGGTGATTAAGGGCAAGGAAGGTGAAGGGCTTTTTTTCATTTGAGGTAGTGATTAAGGGCAAGGAAGGTGAAGGGCTTTTTTTCATTTGAGGTAGAGAATCTAGAGGCTTTCAGATTAGGTGGTCTTTGTGAGTTAGAAACTTGATGGCTAGAAGATTTTTTTCATCTAGAGATCAAAGAGGAAATGGACTTTGAGCAAGCATGTATTTGAATAGACAAGGCCTTGCAAGTTGTTTGGGGTGATTCACACCCAGTGCTGCATGAGAAGCTCCTAGTGACCATGTAAGCAGCAGGTGCACAGGGTGCAAGCTGGACATTATTAGTGAAGCTGTGAAGATGGTAGAGACAGGAAGACAGTGAGAGAAGCAGAGGGCAGTGGTATAATGCAAAGTGCTGATGAAACATGACATTTGAGCTAGGTGTGCTAACTCCTGGAACAATGGAATGGGCTTGGAGCAACCAGCAAGAAAAAAGATCTTGGCGATGTCATTTTGGATGGATAGAGGGAAACAAGTATTTACAGTGGACTGTTCTCTCCCCTTGAGTTCTCAGGGGAACTTCTCTGACAATGGGCTAGCTTATTGGAGTCTAGGAAGCTACTTCAGTACGTATGATATCTAATTACCCAAGAGCCTATCTTAATTTATTACATTCTTTTAGTAGCTGTAGAGTGAAATAATACTTAACAGCCCTGCTGTATGCAGCATCAGTGCAGTGTCCTCATGAGATTCTGCCAAAATACCTGAACAAAAGACTTACTACTCATTAGTTGGTGGGTGTCTTTTGGGTTTTTTTGTTTTATGTCAGAAAGCTACTTTTAAATGCCAGCCTGCTGCTTTTCTTAGTCATTCTGCCAATTGGGAGTGATTCTGCAAGAAATGGCAGATATGTACAGTAGTAAAAAATTGAGGAACAGATTCAGGTATGATATTTTAAATGGTAATGCTGCTGGTGTAGAAAGAAATGTTGCTGGTATTGAAAGGACTAAATGTCAACACAGTTTGAAAACCAAAAAACCCTCACAAAAGTAAGCAAAGAAGACATTCAGAAATAAAATAGGTTTATGTTAATTTTCTGCTTAGGATAAGAACATTTCAGAATAGAAAGTGGGATGCAAGGGTTTGCAGTCTGCTTGATTGAAGGAAAAAAAAAAACCAACCCAAAAACCCCCACAAACTTTATTGACTCATGAGTAGGTTGTCATCAAAGCTGTACCCATGCTTCAGAAAAGGATGGGCGACAATCACAGATTGAGAAAGGAAAAATCTCTTCCCAACGTAGACTGTTAGACGTGGCAGAATTTTCACAGGATTTTTAGCTGTTCAGTCAACCAGAGTATTGCAGTCCCTTTGGAAAGCAGGAACACTAGTTGTGGAAACTTGCTCAAATCTCATGAGTCTCTTGGTGAGAGAGAAATCCTGTTAAGTAAATGCATTTTAATTTCAAGCAGAGGATTTTGTAAAAGAAAGAGTAGTGTAAGAGTGCGTAAATGTAATCTGTATGTGCTAGAGAGCTGCTTGGAAAGACATTAGACCCGATTTTTATTTATATACTAAGGCCCCTTTCCTCTAAGCTGACACTGAAAATGACCTTGCAATGTCTATAAAAATGTGTTGTCTTTTATAGGCACTTGCACTTCCTGAGTACTGCAATTGTGTATTAGGTCATAAATCTCTGGTAGTTTATTTGCAAATCAGTGTTATTTTATGAATATTTCTATCCTTATCAGTAAGTGTACTAATTGTTTCTACTTGGTTATTTTTATAGTTCTCTTGTGTTCGTTTATGCCATCACTAGGAGTATTATAAGTGATAATATGCATATTCCTTTTGATGTTGATTAATAGCAGATTCAGAATACTGGATTCTTACATTAAACATAGCAGTGCCAGACAACCTGTGCCCTGAATAACTTAAAAGAATAAGAAAAGGATTAGAGGTAGGCCACATGATAAAAATTTCTGTGTGAGTTTAGTTAGATCTTAGAACAGGGCACGTACGCTTCAGTCTCCCTGAGAGACATGCATTGATTCTTTTATTCTTGATTCTCACTTCATCTTCTGTTGCTTTTTCTCTGAACTCCTTCCAGTCTATAAGCCTTGATGACAAGGGCCCCTCAAGGGTGAATGTAGGGTTTCAAGAACGTTTCACCAGTTGTTTTGTGGCTGTTCCTTCACCATACTTTGTCAGCTTATATTTTTTAAAGTACAATGATTGCATGGGAAATAACAAGACTTAAATTGTTCTGACTAAAGAGGGAGACATAATTAATTCTATATACAGCATCTCTAAACTGAGTTAAGCTTGAGTGTTCAGATACTTCAAAAAACAGCTGCTGTAAGAATCAAAGATGATGAGACAGCAATACAAATTAATATGACAACAATGTGAAGTTTAATAATTGATTTAATAAAACCCACAATAAAGCAACACATTTCTGCTTTTTTCTTCAATTAAACAAATGCGTAGTAAATTCTTACAATAAAAAACTCCAAATACAATACATGTCTACTGTACTTCAACTTCTAATTACAGCAACTGTAAACCCCACTTTAATTAAAACCTCTTTGAGTATTAGTATGTGCAAAATACCTGTTGTTTATTTGTGGTATTTTTTTCCAGTAAGTTTGTAAGGATGGGATGCACATTTTTCATGAACTGTGATATGGCTTAATTAATGACAGTGTTTGTATTGAAGCATTAACTTCCCAAGCACAGTGCTACTTTGCCTCTGAGCTGTATGTGCTCCCATGCTGTACTCAAGTGTTCCCATTTCTTGCCAGAACAGATACAAACATAGTCCAGTGTTAATGTGCGCTTTGTCCAAATGAATACTGTTGTCAGTTTTCACCTCTAGAAATTCATCATGTGACCCCCTACCTGGAAAAAAAGGGGAGAGAAGCCAAGAGTGTTACCACCAATTGCAGGTATACATCAGCCTGATAAATATGTGAAACCCTAGCAAGTTTCAAAACAGACAATAGCTTAAGTATTCACAGCTGAGTATCACAATATCCGTTACTGGGCAAAAAGTTTACTTTCTGATCCACATACAGAACTACTTTTTATGTCAGTGGAACTTCTGCATAAAGTATAGAATAAAAAATATTTGAAGCCAAGTTCTTGCTGTCTTTTGAACTTTGCAGGTCATTCTTGTTGCTCTTAGCTTCTTCAACGCAAATAACTTCAGAAGCTGGCATAAATCTGAGTGTGGAGGTGTATGATAACTTAGTGTCAAGTTTTGTTATCCTGTGTACATTCAAAGTACAGGGATTCCACCGTTCAGTTTTGTGGACTTTGAGGATGACTAAATAGTCTTTTCAAAGTAGTCTTTTCAAATTGCTTCATCCCTCTAGAAATAAGAAAAGGCCTTTCTACCTCTGTAGGTTGTTATATTTTTGTCCAACACCATTAGGTTACTGAGCTTGCTTGGATTTTGCTTTATTCATAAAGCTAAGTAGTGAGGGACTGGTATTG